ACGGAATGGTTGCCAGCCAAAGTGACCCCCGAAACAAGGCCCTCTCCTGGCTTCTCCCAGTTGTCTCCTGCACACGGCACATGTGTAGCCCCTCCCCCACATCTCTCTGATAAACAGTGCAGACACAAAAATCAAAATTAAATTGGTTCCTCACAGTAACATTTAAAACCCAGTTTAGGGAGCCTCTGAACTTCGAACACAAAGCTCAAAAGTCTATGCCAAGTGCTCAAGAAATGTTAGTGTCTTTGGGAACTCACCTGGATACCCTTTTCCCACAATCTGAGTTTCAGTAATTAAATTGTCAAAGCTTTCTGAAAAAGAGTTTCTTTGAAGGAGTCTCAAATTTTATATCAGAATCCATCTTTCCTTCCAAAAGTCCTGAGGGAAAAAAAAAAAAAAGCTAGCCAAAATTATTAGCTGCTTTCAAAAATCTGACTCTCATTTCATCCCCTAGGTTCTTAGTTATGCTGACAAACTCAGGAAAGCCTTAAAAACCCCACACATCAAAACAAAATAATTAAATTTATTGTTAATTGAATTCTTCCTTAGCAGAGAACCATCAGAGGCTAATATCCCACATATATCTTACTGTGGCTTCATGCTGCCATTCTGTACAAGATAAATTTCACCCATCAATGAAATGTTATCAATGACTCTTATTCTTAATAATCACATCAGGGCTTTTCAAAATTAAACATATGAGCCAAAAAATAAGAACATGGATGACACCTTGCTTGCAATACTGAGCATGATAGAATATTTTGCTGTCTTATTGGAGGACTCAGAGGATCTTGGTCATTAAAAGACAATAATGGGAATGTCTCCCAAAGAGCGTATTTTGATACTCAAATTATTGAAAAACTACTGAAAGACTATTAAATTCAGCTAAGAAGGCCATAATCCAGGAATTCTCTTCCTAAATAGCCAACCTTGAGCATTCCATCAAGTCAAAGACCTTAGAATGCTTTATCCCTCCCTGTAGATACACTAATACTATAAACATTGACATTACTAAAAGAAAAATGAAAAACAGAGATCCACAAAAGCATAAAACATCTTTAGTAGATCTAGCAGTGGTGCATACCTTCATCCTCTTCCTAGGGGATTGTTTCACAGGTTATTCATCAAGGATACCCTTATCACACACATGTTCAGCCAGTGAGCTTCGTTCTCTCTTTTTCATTTAACATCCCTGCTCTCATTCACAAAGGAGCTACTTGCTTATTTTCCTGGAATTTACTACTACCCAGTCCAGCAACATCTGCTACACTGAAAATTACTTCTTACAGGCTTCTAATAGTAAGGATAAAAAAGCTGAGATTTCATCACAGTGTAACCCAGATGTCCCATCCCACTGTAAAAGGGGAGTTGGGGAGGATTCTTTTTGATGGATTTCTCAGACAAAAATAAAGTGTAAGCACAGCAATATTATATTGGAGAACTGTTTATTGGTAAAGAAAGATAAGTGTTCCTACTGAAGGATGATAGAAAAGGGAGTAGAAGGGGAAGAAGAGAGCTTTCTCTCCCTTGAGCTGCTGCCTGATGAAGCCTCCCCAAGGATAGGGGTCTCAGCAAGTGTACAACTCCCAGTGTAGTTTTTCACCTCGTGTATAAGATATGTTGAGGCATAAATAAAAATCAGATTGGTCCCTCTCACCAGACAAGACTGAATTCCTCTAGCAGGAATCATTTTCACAGCTTACAGATAAATGATATTTTTAAAATTACTCTTGGGTTCAGAGTCTTTTTAGAAAATTCCTTTTCATTACATTGTCTTCAAAAATGCTCATATGGAAGTAGGAATTTTGCTTGTACCTTTTCTAATCAAATAATATGAACGCTTCCTGACCTCTTCAGGTCATGGTTAATTTGTTATCACTGTGAATGCAGACAGTGTTGCCTTTCTTCTGCACACTCCTGAGATTTACCACATGAGGTATTTTTAAGTATAAATCCCTTAACATCTGCCTTAATTTAGTAGATAAGATCATTAACAGCCATTATATCTAATCAACATCTAATCCTCGTAGAAGGGATTCATTAGCAGGATGAAATGGGAGCAGTAGCCCACTAATGATAAATGTTTATTTTCTCTGAATAAATTTCCACTAGGGAAGAGCTAGCAAGACTCTAACAACCTCTTCCAGAACAGTGTTGCACTGCATATTGAAAGAGCACCCTCAAGCAGTAGGTCATTAAGAATGTGCTGCTTGTTTTACATCTATAAACAAAAAACAGACTCCTTTCAAAATAGTGAAAAGGGACTTTCAGACAGCTTACATGCAGGTATAAAAATTTCTCTTGAGTCCTGTGTGCAGTTCTGGGCATGACAATCTAAGAAGGATATAAAGTTATAAGAAAATGTCCAGAGGAGGGCTACAAAGATGGTGATGGGTCTAGAAACCACATGAGGACTAGCTGAGGTCCCTTGTCTTGTTCAGCCTCAAGAGAGAGGAGGTTTAAGATAAATATTCCAAAATGGTCTTCACCCAGAAGGTGGTTGGGCATTGGAACAGGTTCACTTGTTCTCTCATTTCACTTTGTTCTCTCATTTCATTTCCTTTCATGAAATGAAGAATTTCCTTTCATGAAAAGAAATTAAATCTTATGAATTTTATGAGGGTCAATTGGGCAAGGTTTGGTCCATTTTCCTGCATTCAGGTAATCCCATTACCTTTTTAAGGTTTTCATTTCCGTGAGGCTTTTTTTTCCCTCAACATTTGAATTCGTCAATCACTTCTCTCTTTTCATTTGACTTTCTTCCCTGATTTCAAGATTTCAATAAATATAATTTTGTGACTTTTGGCCCTTTTCACCACACCTCATTTCATCCCTATCCTTTTGCTTGTAGTCACTCCATCTGCAAGTTTTTTATTTTTTCAGTTGCATTGTTTTGGTCATATCTCCTTTCCAGAATGGTTGTTACACATTTTTTTCTGATTCCAAGATTTCATTTCCTTTTATCAAAGGAAGGTCTTCATTTCATGGAAGGAGAAATGAAATCTTGTGAATTCAATAAGGATAAATTTGCCAAGGTTTGGTCATTTTTACTTTATTTCATGGCATCACATCATATAGTTTTCTCTTCATTTTGTAGTCAATTTCTTTTTTAAGCATCTCATTTTCTTCATTTATAATCCTGTCTCTTCTTTTCCCTTTTTTCCCTTATTTGGCATTTCAATGAATATTGTTTTTGAAGGCTTTGGTCTTTTCATTCCACCTCATTTCTTCTCAGTGCATTTCATTTTATTCACTTCATTTCCAAATTTCCCTTTTTTTCCTCTTGCATTTGATTTCATCATATTTTCTTTCTACTGTTTTTTCCTTTGTTCTCTGATTTTTAATTCTTTCTTTTCATGATATGTAATTATTTCTTTTCATGAAATGGATTTAAATTCTGCTCGTTTTTTCAGTTTTAGGAGGGGAGAAGAAGGAGATTAAATTTAAGTAAATATTTTCTCTGCAGAAAAATCCTACATGACCAAGTTTTTCTGAAGTAATTGTTCTTTATGAAACAGAGTTTTCCAAAGGAGTGCTGGGTTATGCCTTTAGCTCTCAAATCAAATCATTGAGCAGCCTCCTGGCAACCTTCTTTTTCTTTAAGAGGGCCTATAGGGGAGTCAGTCAGTCTTTGTAAGAAACTGTAGTGATAAATCAAGGAGTAACGTGTTGTTCAAACTGAAAGAGTAGAAGCTGTGGACAACAATGAGGTCTACTCTCAGTTCTCCGCTTTCCCAGACTGAACAGAAATATTAACCTCAGCCACTCTTCTTGTGGCTTCCCCTCAAGGCCCTTCACCATTTTTCTGGACCTCCTTTGGATGCTCTCTAATATTTTAATATCTTCTTATATGTTTAATAGCATAAATAAACCACACCAGTTTGTCAGCTGGGCTCAGTTTCAGAGACAAGTCCTGTGCAAATATAATTTATTAATATAAAACATAGCTACTAAGAATGCATAAAAGAAGATGGTAAATGAACTGACAGATTATTCAGATGCATTTCTTCAACTAAAATGACCATAGGTCATCCACCATGGTTTTCTCTTTCTACAAAGAACATGAAGCATGGAAACCTGTGCTCCCTACATTCAGAACTGAGAGAGGACACCTGTGTCCTATGCTATCACATCTAGCACTACTAGAAGGCTCAGCTGAGACCATTGTACAATTCAGGATTTGGGAGCCATCTTCCCACACATCTGGAGGGAAATTGCTCATTTGGGACTTTCAAGAAGCTGCAGGCCTGCCTAAGAAGCATCTCTGAGGCTGAACAGCTGCAGGTTGGCTGCCTGGTGCTAAAATAACCAGTATATTTTTCTATAGGACCTCATGTGCTTAACATATTTGAAATGTGCATATCAGCTCAATCCATGAAACTGTCATTCACAGCCTTGATGCTACAATATTTAACACTTTTTGGGCAGGAGTAAACTACATTCTGTTGTGCGGTTTGCACTCACCAGGATTTATGGCATGTGATGATTAATTACTGCAAAACAGGCAGTCCTCCAGTTTACATCCCACAGTCCCACTTCCCACCAGAACAGATCCATGTTGCTATTCGGGCTGGGTGTGCTCAAATGATCAGATTCTGTGCTCTGATGAATAGGTCAACTGCTTCAGGACACCTTGCACAAAAAAAAACTCCAAATAAAACTCCTTACATTTCCAGCACAGAAATCCAAAATCCAGACTGACTGTGGAAAGGGACCACAGCCTGTTCTGACCCCTAAACTGTGCCTGAGAGCTGCTTGAGAGAGATGACTCTCAGCAAAGTCATGCCAGGCAAACAGGACATGTGGATGTCATGCAAACCTTGTGCACTCCCAATGCTGCTGCATTCATATAGGTTCAACCTCTTAATGCTTCAGTAGACATTTGGTCAACCCTATTCACTGGCTATCCACCCCTTCAGATGAAAAATATACACACACACATACATATATATGCACACGCACACTTTATTGTGTATAGTTTAATCTCCCCCCCACCACAGGTAATTGAATACCTAAAAAAGAGTCAGAACATGTTTACCTCATTTCAAGGTTCCTACAAGTGATAACTATACCTGGCAGAAGGGCACACCTCTTATTAATGACATCACTTTCTTCATGCCAGTGGGTAATTCCTATTGTACTTAGACTGCATACCACCAGCGGATTGCCAATGCCATTTTCATGTTCCACAAATTATCAAGGCAGAATTCTCAGAATTTATATATTTCATCTCTTGGAAACATGTTAAATACACTGCTTAGTGAAGATTGGTACATCCAGGGCTTTCTGTAAGCACTGCAAACAAGAAAACATGGAGATATTAATAATGGTGTGGTTAGAAAGCAAGCCAGTACACCACCCATTTATAATGTGGGCAAGATAGATTTTATTCACACATAACTTACACCAGACCAGAAATAAATCATACCCTAAAATTTTTATCTACATTTTATTGAAATTTATAACTGTACTGCTATTATCAAAGAAAACACCAAGTTTTATAATGAAGCAAGGACATTTTTCAGCTTGCTGCATTAACATCAGGGCCAAAATTACACAGAGGACTTGCACCACATCTGTTTCAGAGCATGACACTGTATATCCAGGAAAACTCCCTTGCCCAAAGGGTGCCTTGGCCTCCTTCTATATGTGTACATCGGCACACTGGCATTGGCACCCCTCCATACACATGGCCCTGCCAAGTATGAGACCACAGCCACATCATGGCTGAGTAGTTCTTCTTCCATCTCAAGACCCCACACGTCAGAAGCAAAGGAACATCACACTGCAGTTCTGGGTAACCTATAAGCCATGGAGATACACCTTGACCTCTGAATCACAGCTGTGGAGAAAGGATGCAGTACAAAAACCATGAGCTGGTCAGCTGGAAGTAGAGAAAGAGTAATGGTAGAGAATTCAGGAGAGTCAGAAGGTCTGCATATATGCCCCCAAACTACACTGATACAGGCTGTACTCATAATGTATATGGAACCATCATCAATTCCCTGTAAGTTAAAAAATAATATTAGTATCACATAGTAAGAAATTACCTACTGATAACCATGATTTCTAAGGAAATCTTTCTGAGATACAGCCCTTATGTAATTTATATAAACCTATGATGTTCCCTTCAGGTCAGAATATTATGCTTAGTTTTAATTTAAATTTAATTTAACCTGTAATCTAAACTAGTTTATAATTTTTTTGTTGTTGTTTGTTTGCAATTTTATTTTTCCTATTGTCTTGCTTCTGGAGAGACATGGGACTCTTAAATTTCTCATTTTGTGATACATCTGAGGATCTCTTAAATAAACCATTTTTTCAGTATATTAAAAATGTTACATTTTAATCAGATTTTCAATCTCAAGAAATGTACTAGAACATTTTTGATCCTGGAAGAATCTCCTAACTCTTACTGAGACAGTAAATTTTATTTCCAAGCAGATTTAAGTAACACATTGTTGTCCTATGCTCTGTTCTTCTGCCTTTGATTTAAACCTTCAATGGAAAGAATATACAAATTACAGAACCCTAATTAAAGAAATTTGTCTCTTAACATGGTCATTTTCTATTCTAATTAAAAATAAAAGTTTTTATTAAATAAGAGTAAGTGATTTGAGGCAGCAGCCCCTTTTTATCACAGTACAAACCTGCAATTGCTGACATAACTCTTGACCACTCTACAAAATTGTACTTCTAGTAAAGGTGCAAGAATTGAAGGCTGACATTTTTAAACCTAAATCATTAGATGCTTTCTTTACTAGCATTTTACTGGACTGCTTTTAATTCCACGAAGTTCATGTATGATAGTGAAGTCTCAACAAATTTCACCCTGAATGGACAGAGGTGCTGTCAAGTCTTATCATCTTGAGAATGAAGGCAGAAGATCCTGGCACAATTCACTTGTAATTAAATTTTACTCTCCATTGAGCATTCTGCTGAAGTTCATAGCTGCTGGCCACAGAGAAGAGCCTAAGGCTGTGGTGCTACCCCTGATATGTCTAGTGGCCCTTCCACGTTTCTGTAACTATCCTTGTATCTTATCACCTCATCAAAGCACCAAGCTCCTAACACCCTGAGGAAAAAACAGGCATGCTGTGTGTTAGCCCTGGATCTAGCTAAATGGTGACTCTTTCTACATCCAGGATTTAATTGCTTTAAATTATGGATGATGACAGAAACCAAGAGAACAAGCATACAGTATTAAAGATTTACACAGCTCCCCCAACTTCTATAAACAGATGTTCAAATACTGTATTTGTTATACTTTTTAAAACTAAAGAAATATACATCCTGTTTAAAGAGGGAAACTGTAAGCATACTGCTTTTTAGATAGAATCTTTGTTTTAAAACAAATAGCAATTTATGCAGCTTATGACAGTATCACTTTTTCATATAGGAAGGAGGGGGCCATTAAACATTTGCAAAGCCTTCTTAATCAATAACCCCTAACTTTCTCTGCTCTGATACCTGTGGTACTAAATTAGATGGTTTTGACTCTTACATTGTTATTAATGTTTTTGCCATTACAATGTCTCGTGCACACCTGTTTTAACTCCATATTTAGGATGCATTTTCATCACGGCAGAAAAATTTGAAGGTACAAATTTTGTGCAGATTCTTTCTCAAAGTGACACCAGATTCTCAGGGCAATTACAAGTGACAAGTCACCATGAAGAACTGTTCCCCATGAGAAGTAAGCTGATGTGATCCTTACTTACGAACATAGAGGAGTATATGTAAGAATAAGGCACAGCTTGTAGGTCACAATGAGATTGAAAGAACCTCTGGAGATCATCAGGATCAGCTAGAGCAGGTTGATGAGGACTGTGCCAGTCAAGTTTTGAATACCTCCACTGGCTGAGACTCCACAACCTTCCTGGACAGCCTGTTCCAGTGTCTGACCACATGCACTCGAAAAACTTTTACCCCTAAGCTTAAATGATATTTCCTGTATTTCAGTTTGTGTGCATCGTCTCTTGTCCTGTCATTGGACAGATTCCTGACTAGTCTGTGCTTGCATCAGACTTACCCATGGGAGGAAAGGGAAATCAAATCCAATGCAATTGCTCACCAGCTGCTGTCTGAGGCCAGGAACAGATCCCCCATATCTGGGTTTGTAAAAGTAAATCACACTGGAAAAGACCACGGAAAAGAAGGTATTGCATGTCACAAGGTCCTCTGACCAATTCAGCAGGTGTGCCACATTTTCTGGGGTTTCCTTGTGCTACTGCTATGCCTGCAGAAATCCTCTTTGTTTCCCTTCATGTGCCTTGCCAGATTAAATTGACTTTCCTAAATCCGTCTCTGGACATTGAAAAATTCTCTCTGTATATCCTGCAGCACTTGTCCCTGCCTGCACCTCTTGTACACCTTCTTTTTATGCACCAGTTTTCCCAGGAGTTCCTTGTTCATCAGAGGAGGTCTGGCCACCTTCACATGACCTCCTACTAAAACAGATCAGCAAATCTTGAACTTGGAGTAGGTGATCATTGAAAATTAACTGACTCTGATCTTCCTCTCCTCTCTTCACTAGGGCAGTAGCCCAATAATAGTCTTCCAAGCAATTCCCTGAACAGTCCAAAATCTGTTCTTCTGAAGTCTAGGGTTGTGATCCTGTCAAACTTCACCATTCCAGGCTCACAGTGGCCAAATTTGTTCTCAGCCTCCACATCCCAACCAGTTCTTCCTTGTCTGTAAACACAGAAATCTTTTGAGATAAAAGCACAGCAAATGAACAAACTAATCTCCTACAGAGGGAGACAATAGCTCCAAGTTGAGTTTAAAGTAATATTCTGTGTGAATCTGACACAGAGAATCTACAATGTCATATACATGTAGATATAATGCTGGCTTGGATTCTAATATAAGGATAAATTGTTATTTCCAACAAAAAAATATAACAGGATAGAGTTTACTGAAATATAAACCATAGTGCTTCTGGCATGCCTTCTGGACTTGATAACCCTGTTACACTGCTAAGTAACTAGGAAAATGCTATGAAATCATCTAGGAGGAAAGTACCCTTCCAATTTTTTTTTCTCCTCATTTTAATTTGAGCAGCTTGTCCAAGATTTTGGGCAAGAAGATAGGAAAAATCTCAAAATCTAATTTCAGGTCTATTTCCATGTCCAGTGAATGGAATAATTAATAATGCAGAAGCAGATTTTAGACCAAAGTTTAGAGTTTTGAGAAATATCTTCTACAATCTGAACTTGACATAACATTTTTGTTCACAGAAAACTGCTTCACTACAACATCACTTTCAAACAGCTGAAGTAAATTTCCCTTTTTCGTAGCAAAAATTTTTAAGTTATTAGTCTTCAAAACATAACAAGTTCTGACATTGTAAAAGAGTATTCATTGTAAGCAAAAGAAAACGTTTCCCACAGATAAAACTAAAAATACCTTTAAGAGAGAGATTTTTCTCAGCTGACGTTAAAAACATGATCATCTTGGCATAAGAGTAAAGAAACATATATGGATTAGTTATATGTTCCAAGATCACCATGATCAGCTTGTTCAACAGAAGTAAACACTGGTCTCACTTGACTGCTTTCCCCCTGTTGATGGTGGCTTTATTTATTGTCACAATTGAAGATTCTCAGCAGAGCAGTACACATGGTAACAGGATTGCATATTTTCCTATGAGAAAGGAAAAAGTGCAGACTGACAAAGTGTTAGCAAAGATAGGTTATGACTGCTTGGACTTTTAATCTATTAAAATATAAAGAGTATATTGGTAAAAACAAACATTGGAAAGTTTGCAAGTTTGTAAATCTTACCTACTACTTTGTTCTTATTGTTCTCATGCCTATTGTGTGCCTTTCTTCACATGCTTTATAAAAAGTAAGCATGTTAGCCTCTTCTTAAGGCCCTGAAGAAGTTGAGTGGGATCTTGATCTGGGAACATCAGAGAAAGTAATATAACATTTCACCATTTTGATTACAAGTAGGGAAAGAACAGAACCCCAGTTCAGCTGCTCTTCAGTACTTTCTTTCAAAAAAAATTGTGGAAAGGAGAATCTTATGCAAGAAGAAAAATACCTTCTGTGACTATAAAACCCTAGATAACTTTGATATTTGAGAAATAAAAGCTGACATAAAATTCTTATTTTTATTGTTATTACTATTTATATTTTGATGGTTATCCAAATCAGTTTGTATAATAACAATTAACCTTGGTTTTTTTAGATCAAAACAGAAGGATAAAAATAAGGCCAAGACAGAAAATAAAGGTCAGATGACCATAATGTTGATACATTCACATGCTTTAGTCAGTCAAAACATCTGATCACAATCGTTCACCTGTTTTCCCTGTATTTAGTGGCATCTCCATTAAGTATGAGAAGATGTGAGTACTGAGGAAAGATCTTCTGGATAAAATGGCTTTTCTACACAAGTCAAGTCTAAGAATACTTTAAAATGTTTAGCACCAGGTGCCTTTACTCCTCACCTCTGGCACAGCCACATTTTTCTGTGGCTGTCTTTTGATTTTTGCCATCAGAGCACATCATTAATCATTGTTAAAATTCTGCAACTTATCCAATGCAGTAGAGCTGTGGCCTTGGGGCATGACATAAATATCTATCAACAAGATGCTTTTGCATCACAAGATTGACATTGTACTGTGTTCAAGTCTTATGAAGAAGCCTCTGGTTTTGGAATTAGAAGACTTTGTCCATCTCATTGAATGCACAAGATCAAGGGAATACAGTTTCAATTTGCAAGTAAGCAGGAATGTGCACCATAAAACATGTAATATTGGTCACAGGAAAAAACAAGCTAACAGACAAAAAGCTTTTTTGGTGGAAAATCTACTTTGTTTTTCACACTGGTGATATATCACTATAGGCCCATAAAAACACAAGCTTTTTGCCCCATAGCTTCCTACTACCTGGTTCCAAATGCTTGAAATGAAAACACTATTCTCCATGGATATGTAACTAATTAAAACAAACAAACAAATCCAGGGGAGAAAAAGAAAAAGAAAACAGAAGATACACTCCACAACAACTTTTATTCCGCTTAAATCCTCCCAGAGGTTGAGTATTCCTAATTTCCATTGATGTCAATGGTACTCAAAGGGAACTCAATTTTTGCAACCAAGCAGTCCATGAAAAACCACCAACAGCACCTCTGACAGTATATGTACTGGCACTGCCTCCAGAGAGAACATTAATACTGACAGACAGAGCCAGCAATTGGCCTGTGCACCTCCAAATATTCTTTTTGGCTTTATCAATCAGCATCTTTCTATATGATTAAGTCCTTTTCCAGGACATGGTTCTGGAAGTCATATTGCCCAACTAATTATTGAAGGGGCTTCAGACACAAAATTGGTCAGGTTTAGAATTACGCCACAGAGCTGATGATCTCTCCTTAAAGTGGTCAAAAATGTACATTCATCACACACCATCTACAGTTCAAAATTTGTGTCATAAGCAAGGCTCTTCCCAGAGAAACAGCATTAGTCCAAAAATCTCTCACTAAGCAGACACCAAGGGAGAATGCACAAACAAAAATTATATGATGACTGTTTAAGATCAATAATGGAGATTTTCTTTCAACTGAAAAATATTTATATTATTAGGATAATCCATCTGCATTCTCCAAATAGAGTCCTTTTAAAATGTCGCTAGAAAGCTGAGATGGATTCTTCCATCCCAAAATAACCCAGGAATACATTCAATACATTGATATCCTCGTTTTGTCCAGGACGAGGTTAATTTTTTACAGATATTAACTGCAGAGCTACAGAGTTGGTCTGTCTTTGTCCCAAGATTTTGTGATTTGCACAAAGTGAAATAACCCCAGTAGGCAAACCTGGAAGAGCAGCTAGGATGACGCACAGGGTTTGTGTCTCTTACTTGCCAGTAGGAGATCCAGCTTTAGACACAGTCAATGCTGCTTTAAATCTATTTCATGGAAGTACTGCTTAAATCATCAAGGTCTTATGACTTCACAAGGAGAAAAAGGATGTTTCTAAACAAGGTCAGGTAAGACAAACACACCAACTCACATATAGATAAATCTTCTGTAGACAAAGCAGGCTGTAATTTTAACATGAATTACCTGGTCAGGATGACCAGGACTTTGTGGAAATCTGCAGTTTGCCTTTGCTTGTTAACTTATTAAACTACAACATTTTCCATTAGGTCTAGGAGAACAGAGGAAATAACAATTTTCTTTCCCTACTAAAGATCAAGTCATTTGAAAAGATGACCTTTTAAAAATTTAGGGCAAATGTGGGTGTTTTCAACTGCCTACACTTCTTGCACATTAAACTGTCTTGTTAAATGCAGTATTTCTTCTTAATAGTCTTAGTTGATTGTTTAAAAGAAGTTTACTTTCTTCACTTTCATTTGGAGTATACAGACTGTGTATTGAAGAATACTATTTTTGGAATATTTTGTTATTGCAGATAGTTGATTTCATAAAGAAATTGTCACATTTGAAACCATAAACCAGTGTAGAGTTTTGTTTGTCACTGTTGCTAAATATAACTTAGCTCTCCAAAGATAAAATAGAGATTCATTAAGCTGCTGCATGCTTTTATCCATTCTCATATTCCTGAAAGATTTCTCATTTATTACAAAGAAAACATGGCTAATTGTTAATTAGAAAGTGCATATGAAGGTGATTAAATTTAATTAACTCAAACAAATACAATTCAAACCTTTAATATAAAGATTTAGTTGATCTCTTTTTTCTTTTGATTTTTCTCTATGGGAGAAAGTTCTAAGTTTGAAAAAGTTCTATTTAATGCCCCTGTTACCCTGCACAATTTGACCCTTTTTAATAAATTCCTTCAAAACAGACAAAAAGAAAATGTAAAAAGAATCTCACAACGTTTAAAGATCTATGAAGTCTGTACTTCAAACTTTGCTGGAAAACTCTAATTGAAAGAGTTTTCCATCAGAAAATGCCCTTTCAATAACAGCGCCTATTTTGTCCCTGATAGAGTTAAGGTTTTTCATAGTAGCTACTACGGGTCTGTGTTTTGGAATTACGTCCAGAACCAGCATTGATAATACAGGGATGGGTTTGTTACTGCTGAGCAGTGCTCACACAGAGCCGAGGCCTTTTGAGCTCCACACCCCACCCCGCCAGCGAGGGGGCTGTGCGTGCACAAGGAGCTGGGAAGGAACACAGCCAAAACAACTGACCCCAGCTGACCCGAGGGCTGTTACAGACCATGAGGTGTCACATTCAACAGAAAAACTGCAGGAAGAAGGAATAGGAGCTTGTTCAAAATGATGGCATTTGCCTTCCTAGGTCACTGTTACGCACTATGGAGCCCTGTTGTCCTGGAGATGGTTGAACATCTGCTTGTCCATGGAAGTGGTGAGTTAATTCCTTGCCTTGTTCTGATTGTTTGTGTAGCTTTAGTTTTCCCTATTAAACTTTCTTTATCTCAACCTATGCATTTTCCCACTTTTGCCCTTCCAAATCTTTCCCCCATCCCACCACGAGAGAATGAAGAAGTGATTATGTGGGCGTGGGCTGTAGGCTGAGATTAAACCATGCAAACAAGAGAAGTATGAAACAAGAAAACAGGTCAGTATTTACGAAAATATAAACTTTTGTTCCAATAAAAAGCTGGAAATTTACTTTTCATAAAAAGTGTTCTTTTTCAAATTGATTTTTCTTTGTATTAGCTTTGTTACATACATTATGTTCTGACTCAGCAACAGTCATATTACACTGAGTCTGTCAGGTCAAGTTGGCATCACTTCCAGTCTCTGTTCCTGTTGACTTCTGTATATTCAGGAACACAAGGGACCAGGATGAAAGATAAAGTAGAGTAGATAACAGGATCCTACTATTTGTGATTTAAAGCTACATTTCTGGTAAATTTAGTTTGTAATGCGTAGATACAACCTGGCTAATAGAATCTAAAATTAAGAAAAATTGCCTTACGAAATAAGGGCTCAGCATATACATTTATAATTAGAGCAAATTTTTGCTTAAATAAACTTCTATGAAATCTGAAATGAAGCAACAAAAGTATATTAATTTGCCATAAAAATGAAAGTGCATGAAAGATTTCAGATTGATAGATGCAATGAAAATTTTGTCTCACAATTTTTATATAAAAATTACCAATTCTTCTTGGCAAACCTCAGCTGATACTCTAGAAGTCATAGAATTTCTCTGCAGTATAGTTTCTGAAAAATAATTACATTGGAAAGATTTACTGGAAAGTCTCTTAAGCTCTTTCACGTTCCTTTCTCATGTAAATTTCTGCTGGCAAAACTTATGTTGTATCAGATTTGCCTGTATCAATCACTTCATAATTCCATAATTAGATTTTCAGCTAAAATTTGGAAATAAATATTGTGCTTACAATGTGTTTGGATTGGTGCTACAACCCAAATATATCAAATGACTATGTGTTTCATCATCTATATATCTATTTTAATAAGCCTGTTGTAATAATTACCAAAATAAATGCAAAGACTCTGAAAAGGTCTCAAGATTTAGTATATATGAAGAAGTCTCACAAGGATGTGTATTGTTTTGCAGCGCATGCTGGGGAAGAAAAACAACAAGTGTATCATTTCAAATAGCCTTTGAGAAAAGCATCAATCCTAGAAGCAGTTCTGAGATCTGCAGGGTATGTTTATAATGTACCCAGAAGAACAAATTTTTTCCAGGCCATCTGCAGAGAAAGGAAAAAACCTTACTCATGTGCCAAAACCAATAAATATCAGGCAGAAAAGAAAGAACAGCACAAGATAAAATTTGGATTGGACCTTTCAGCATTTTCCGTAGAGAGGAGGAGGCTAAAAATCCCAATATTATGCCTTGTAAACTCTACTAAATGTCCATATTCAGATTGTTTGCTTGAAAAATAAACTAGATGTTATTTGCAGGTTTGATGACAGAGCTCAGCTCTTGCAGCACAAGTCAGCAAAAGAGGACTCAGTTACTCTTGGATATGCACTCATATAGGCTCACCATCCTACAAGCAGAAAACTAGAACAGGAAGATGAGTCTTTTAGGGAGCTTATCATCCCCTTTGAAGACCTGATCAGTGCCTTCAGAGTGAGAGACTGTCCTTTCCATTTAGCTGAAACACCTTATATTTGTAATTTTAGCCCTACTATGAATTATATTGTGTTTGTGTCAATATATCAGCTACAAAATTGGAAAGAATGATAAAGCATCCAATGAAGCTCTCTTCTCATGGTCTCAAAAAAAACCAAAACCAAACCTTGCAAACCTTCATAATTTATACTAATATCCAGAATTTAACTGCACAAAGAAACATATTCCCTATTCAGCATTTTTCATGTCTAAAAAAGCTATGCAGCATTGATACCCTAATAAGTAGTGTGACTTTGAACACTATAATACACAACATCTGTGTCCACTCCCAATGTGACCAATGAGAACTAATTTTCCACAGCCAGGACAAATTACCGTCTTCAAGGATGAAAACATCTGTCTCCATGATGTATAAACACGTCATCCCTTTGGCCTAAGAGAGGCTTCATCTAAGCAAGGGAGCAGAAAAAGGGGCATTACAGCAAAGTAACCCCTTGTGGGAAACCAGCTGTTAGCTATTTATCTTGGTGTGGCCAAGGAGTCTTTATCCAAGATACAGCTGTTCCTTCCTTTCCTAATTATTAGATGCCTCATACACACATGCCTCAAGCAGATGAGTGTGATTGTTAAATGCTTTTCTCAGTATTTAAAGTTTTACACCTGGTCCTAATACTCTCTTGTTCTCACCGGTAGTAGTTTAAAGATGTTATCAATTTATCTTTGTGGTAAAAAAGAGATGGGCTTATTTTTGCTTTCATAGAGATGAATGAATAAAATATTTCTTGTTTTTTAAGGTACTACAAATCCAGGCAAGATACCTATTTTCTTTCACTCAACTATGAATTCTTAATGCAGCTGTAACATTTTATGACCTCAAAATTTTTAATAGAACTGAAATTTCCCAAAGGAAATATGTACTCCTAAGTATATGTCACATGTGTTTTTCTCTGTATGTAAGGCTCATACAAACATTTTGTGGCAAATTACACTAACTACAATGACATTTTTCTGTTCAGCTGAGAGCATTGGGTTCTAGCAGCACAAAGTCACACAAGGGTATGTTTTCTATTCACCCATATGCAACTGTATATTTAAAGTCTTCACATTTGCTTTCTTTCCTACCCTTCCTAAGTCCACACCCCTCTGCACTGCATGCTCATACACTTCAGCAAGATTATTTACAGAAGAACTGGAGGGCACCACACCAAAACAGAAGTGTCTTTTCCAGATGTTGTACAAACACGCAGGAAAAAATTACCAACTACACAGATAAAACTTCAGAGCAAAGAACAGGCAGAGCTGAGAATAGATCACAGGTGTCCCAAATCCTCATTCAGTGCCCTTTTTGCTTATAAATGATTGATTCACAGTTGTCCTAACATTTATATCTGAAGCCACCAAAACATGTTTGGAAATGTTTGCCTAGCAGATTCAGCTTCCGAATGGCACAACACACACTGATCCATTTTGCTGAGGTTTAGACTTTGTCTCCTCACCTGGTCAGCATCCACGAAGCATCTGAAATTCCATCCAACAAACATAGAAGTTGATGAGTAAATTGAGAGTAAGCACCAAGATAGTCAGAATTCGTTCAACGCAAAATCTTCTTTCAGCTTAAGAAGCAGATGAGTAAAAGCAGTTCCTGCTGGCAGCTGAGGTCTCCACTGGCTGCATGCCAGATACATGCATGTCTAATGCCTTCACAGGTGGGGCTGCCTGTAGCCATGGGCACCCCAGGGCAATGCAGACTACATGAGCATGGCCTTGCACGGTGTCCTTGTAGGTTTTGATGGGAGCACAGACAGTCTGTCTTCCTCCATTTGCTCTCAAAGCAGCAGCTGTGGCAGCTGTGAAAATCCAGGACAGTTTCACTCCTGACACCATTCTTTGCTGACGGACTCCATCCTGCTAGAAATCCTAAAACCTGCAAAAAATTCCCTGTCTCTCACTAAATTCATCAGTAGTTGATTTCTTTTCCACTCAGGAAAGGCAAGGGATGATAATTGCAAAACATTCCAGTAGATAAGCAGGGCAAATAAAGTAGTCTGGTAATTCATCTAACCAACTTCTTGGAATTAAAAGGGCTTTCTTGTAGATTGAGAATAAATTAATCATGAATCTATAAACCAAAAAGCACTGGTAAACTGCAAGAGAATAATGACTACATGACAGGAAGCAGAGCATATCATATGCAAGGATGTATTTTCTCATTAAGCACTACACGTAAATATGCAACCTTCTTTTCTGAAGGACATGAAGGATAGGCTGTAGGTGGAAAACACTAAAAAGGAACAAACAAAAATCAGTTATTATTCAACCACCTACATTCTTTCTTATAAAAATAGATGCATGCAGACAGAGAAACTAAACAAAAATGGGGGCAGGGTCATATGCACAATATATTCACAAATATTTTAAAATGGGATGTTTGGCCATTTGGGAGATGAAGATTGTTTGAATTTCTTCATTTAATTGGGAAAGGATTTCAGCAGCAATTCAATTATTTAATACAATTTACATTCATTTTTTTCTCCAAGAGCAGAAGGACGAAGGAAGAGAAATTACCCTTTTCTTCCCTCTAATGCTTGTCCTCCCCATAGTCACCTTGATGCAGTGCAACAAGGCTCCTGCGGCTGCCTGTGCTCTTTGGTCACACACTAATATAACTTTTGCCTGTTTTATTATAAGCTCTGGTTATCAGCTGCATGTTGATTCTTAGTACTGGCCCTGTTGCAACACACTTTTTCTTACAAACTTATAAATTATCTCATCAGGAAAGACTGCCTTCTGTGCTGAATTCCCTTCTATTCCCTATTCAAACAAACCCTGTACTTCCTCCTAATGTATTAACTGTGAAGTATTGCGTGGTTGGCTACTTGCAATCTAAAGGTGGTGTCATTTCAGAATCTGATGTAAGGTTGAGTGACAATCAGTCAATGAGGTCAGTGCCTCTAGGGTCTTGCTCATCTCTCTAGAGTTACAGCAGCGAAGTAGGTTGCAGCCAGTGGCCATGAAATCATTTGTTTTTCTACCTCTCTTTCTTGTAAAAATGAAAATCACTCTGCACAGTAGCAGGGAGGAAAAAAAAAAAACAACCAACCAACAACACCAAACAAAAATATTACTTATTTTAAAAGAGCTGGGCAGGTCTTCTGGAAAATAAAATGGCCCTATTATGTACCTCATTGTATAGGTACAATGAGGTACCTAATATGGCCATTTTTTCTTCTTGCTGCTAATGCAAACTAAAAGCCTTATAGAGTGTTTGGTTTCCCAGGGTGACCATCTGTTGGAGTCCTAGAGACCAATACATATTATTTCAATACACCTCTCCACCTTCATTTTCTCTAGGTTGCCTTAACATAAAAAGTACCTTTTTAAGATAGAAATTGTTACTGTCGTGGTAAACTTAAACCCAGCTCTTTTTTTTGTTTTGTTTTGGTTTTTTTGGGGTTTTTTGTTTGTTTTTTTGTTTTTGTTTTTGTTTTTGTCTTCTTCATAAGTTTTGAAGCATAATAAACTCAAACCAGTATGTTTCCTCAATTTTCTCTATTTTTGGACTTCTTCCTGTTGTAGCCACCTGTAGCCTCAATCACATCTGCCTGGTTTGTATGCTATCTTCAGCATTTTAGCTTCAGTGTTTTGGGGTTTTTTTACATTTGAGATTTTTAAAAAGTGTTACATGAAAATTATAGAGAACCAACATCACAGTGAACATACACCTTCTTTGTTTGTTACATATTCCTTCTTCTTTCCCATATATCCACTCATGACCATGCACAGTTGGCATCCTTATGCTCTGCTAATGCATTTGCATTTAAACCCCTACTTTACTTATGCAATACTTTAATTTTGTATAAGCTATTTTAGTCATCCCTCTGCTTTTTCTCTCTTTAATTCTTGATTCTTAGTATGCCAGATCACATCTTAACCCTCTTCTAGGATTTAAGCCACTCCCTGTTAAACTTCTGGAAGCCAGACTAATTCCCTAATGACCAAGTAAGAACCAGAAATATTATTCCCTATTAACCAAAGGCCCATTTCTATTCAGCACTATTTAGAAATGGAAGGGGGAAAAAAAGGCGTGGTCAGAGTATTTCCCTGGTCTCTGAGCTCTTTTAACAGAATAAGTGCTGACTGCACTCACTGGATCAACAAGGTTGCACTAAAAGCCATGGAAGTGTTGTGAAGAGGTTGGAAAAAAAATCCTAGACCTGTCTTTTCAAGCAGCATGATCAAGAGTTTGGTTTCAATCTCATAGAACCAGTCATGTTCTGAAATCAATAGGCACTGTTTTCCATCTCGTGGATGTTTTTCTTTTGTGTTTATTTATGATCAAATGGGCATTTTTTTCATTTTAAGTGTACATTTGGAATTTCATATCTATAATGTGTTAGGTATGTTGCACCACAGAGAAACTGACTATTTACAAGAACAGTCAGACAGTCTAGAAGTTTTCTTCCATTGTTTTGAACAATTTGTTGGGTTTTTTCCTCTTTTTGCATAGACATGTGTTACAAGCATAGAGTTAGATCCCTAAAAAACATACCTGCTAAGACTAAGCAAATATGAAAGTGCAAATTCTACATATTCAAGTTGCTTCTAGAGTTCTGTGTTCCTTTGTTTCAGAAAAATTACAGAAAGAGCCAAAAACCCAACAAAATTATGAAAAGAAATACAAATCTTATTTTAATTTGCACCCATCACTCCTGACCTCAGTAGACACAGTTCACTTACCATGTCCCTTAGAAACTAGTCATGATATGCAAGTCTGGATAAGTCAAGCAAAATCTTGTATGAAGGATGCTTCAAGTGCATCAAAAGTAGGGATGGCAGGAATAAAAATGGTGGCAGGTGGAGAACATGGAGGTGACATAAGGAGATGAATATATGACACCTTGGAAGGTCCTTAACGCCCTTCACAGAAAGGATGGCTGTCCCACAAAATACATCTATGATCATTATTGTACCAAAGGAACACAATATCTTGTTCACCTTGCACTCTTCCATGTCAATGCAGCTGAGTGGCCAGAAGAACTGAGATGTTCTTCCCACCACAGGCTGGATTTGCTTCCCAGCACCTGGAAAATTTTGTTCTGGGTATAGTTTAAAAACCCTTTCAAGTCAATACTTCAGTTAACTATGTATATTTCGTTTCACACTTCTCACTATTATACACAGCAGAAAATTTAAAAGATCATGTTGCTCATGTTTGATTTAATTAGTGCTTGGGGAATTAGGTCTGGCAGGTTACATGGCTGCTTGCAGGGTGGAAATTCTCAATTAGCAATATGCAGATGAATGCACAAAAGCCATGTTTCCTCATTTTCACCTTTGACCCTTTGCTCAGTTTCAGGGGTTAAAGCAGACCAGTTATAATTTTTGCCAGAACAGGATTAATAGCTTGAGTTCACACATTCAGCATGGGGTTGCTTTTGTCATCACAGAACAACAGTAAGTACAAACCACTTAGGTGCTGTCATTTTTAGCAGTTCATGTGTTTTA